GAGCAGAAGGCTATGTGTCCAGCAAGGCGATGGCCTGGACCTTCCATGCAGCCTACCATGAACTGCAGGACAAACACTCGGCGATGCCAGCTCTAGCCCGTCAACCCTCCGCCCCTCGGGAGGACCTTAGAGAGTCATGCCTGTCCTCACGGGCAGAGCATGGAGAAGGAGAACGATGCGGGTGGGTGGCGTTTGCGACAGCCAACGCACCCAGCCACGGGTGCCGGAGACCAGGCCAGGCCCCCTCAGCAGCACCAAGGCTCGTGCGCTGTGTGTGCTGGTCTCCACGCCTAGGCAAGACTCTTGTACACCCACTGTTTTTCTCCTGGGGTTGGCAGCTAGTGAGGCTGGCCTGAAAGAGTGGCCACACACGAGGGCACCTGTGGCTTTATAAGGAGAGAAGGGACATGACCTCACCAGGCCCGGCCAGATCCAGCGTCACGCGTGCTCTTTCTACAAGTTGCTCTTTGGGTGCCATCACCAAATACCCGGCAGAACCAACTGAAGGAAGAAGGGCTTGTCACCTGGCTTGCAGTTCAAGGGCATTTCCATCATGTCGAGGAAGGCAGGGCAGCGGGGGCTTGAGGAGCTGAGCAGGAAGCAGAAGGGGATGAATGCTGGTGCTCCACTCAGTTCCTCCTTTGTGTTCAGTCCAGGACCCCAGCCCGCAGGGTGGTGCTGCCTGTATTTATTTAATCCTGTAGAAAACCCCTCAGGCCTGTCAGATTCTAGATCCTTTCAAGCGGATGGTATTAACCGCCATATTTTGTCCTGCCAAGTCTCCAGAACCATGAGCCAAATAAACTTGCGTTCTTCAAAAATCACCCGGTCTCCGGAATCTCCCTATAGCTACTGGAGCAGCCTAAGGCAAACACGCCCAGAGGGCTGCCTCACAGGCCCAAAGATTGCCTTCGCTTGACGTCTTTTCCTGGTCCTGCGGCCTCTCCAGTCCTCACTGCTGGCCACCCTCCCCGGCCCTAGAACCTGTAGAGCTCTTGGCTCATCCTACCTGACTGGAATCTGGGCTGGCCTTGAGGGAGAGAGAGAAACTAGGAGAGCTGGAAGACGGTATAGGACCACAGCCGTTCACTGCTTCTCCTTCTCCAGCCCTGGCCCCACTCCTCCTGTCTGTCACCTTTGGCATCCTTGTAGAATGTAAATGACAGCGACTCGGACAAAAATCCAAGATCGTGTCGTGGCTGACACGGGACGTGCTATCAGGCCTATTTTCCTCGTGGCCTCATCTCACTCCCAGCTCCTTGGCCACTTTGAGTTCAGGCTCTTCCCTGAGCATGCTGATCTCTCCGCCTGGAACTCTTCCTCAACAGGATCGAGTTCCTCACTGGGCAGAACGAGATTCAAAGGCAGGCAGGGTGTGGGAGCATACTGTGCTCCCAAGCAGGAGGGCTGTAAGTTTGGGTACAGTGTGGGCTAAATAGTGAGGCTCTTGAAATAATAATAATAATAATAATAATAATAATAATAATAATAATAATAA